GTAAATGAATGTTAGTGCAGTAATTGTTTGAAATAATGCCTCATCCAGTGTTAGATCAGTAGCTCTACATGATCTATACAGTCCAGAATTCTTTCTCTAATTGTCCCAAAGGGGGACATTGCGGAGGCAGAGTTAGGGGGACCACTTCTAGTGGTTAGGGACAGATAAATAATAGGCAGTATAGCGCATGAAAGAAAACACACACTTGGAAGCCAGAGACTTGTGTCCTAGTCAAAATTCTGGCATTAATTATGTGACCTTGGACAGGCCTTCTAACTACTCTGAAATTTATCAGTCAAAATAAGATGTTTCTTTTTTTTTTGAGACAAGGATTTGCTCTTGTTGCCCAGGCTGGAATGCAGTGTTGCAGTCTTAGCTGACTGCAACCTCCACTTCCCAGATTCAAGTGATTCTCAGCCTCCAGAGTAGCTGGGATTTTTTTTTTTTTTTTAAGTAAAAATGGGGTTTTACCATGTTGCCCCAGGCTGGTCTTGAACTCCTGACTTCAGGTGATCCATTTGCCTCAGCCTCCCAAAGTGCTAGGATTACAGGCGTGAGCCACTGCGCCCAGCCCAAATGAGATGTTTCTAAATCTAAAGTTTCTTCTGCTTCTGCATTTCTGTGGATCTCATTTGAAATTTTTCAAGGAAGGGATTTTATCGTTTGTTCAGAGATGGCTTTATTTTTATTAATACCCATAAAACGTTTGTGTATTTGCTTCTTCCTCTTTCTCCTTTTGATCACATTTTAGCTGCTCATCTAGAGGATCTCTGGCCAGTATTCCTTTTTATTGTATTGATAACAATTCTTAATGGCTGGCCTCTCTTGTGTACAATGAGCCAATATTCTTTTTTGTTCTATATTTTTGTATCTTCCCCTTTCCTGAATAAAGCATGTTTAGAGTCTCAAAGAAATCCTCTCCACAAAGACATGTTCCCCCCCTCCAGTGTGGATAGACACAGGGTAAGAGTTTGGATGAAACTTTTGTAAATAGTAGTGTTCTTGGCATAAATATGAATTAAATAGTTTTTTTATATTTAAAGAACTAGTTAAATATGTGCTTCTTACTAAGGTTAGGTATTTTTTGCCAAGATAACAACGATAAAAGCATTTTGTGGGAGAAATTGACCTTAAAATTTCGGGATAATTCAAGAAATGTCTGCAGAAAATTGATTTGTGATCTTAATTTTTGTATTAGTCCTTTGAGGTTTTTTTGTTTGTTTGTTTTTTGTAAAGCTCCTCATCTGTTTTGGACAAGTCCAAAGTAAATGGTTGGGCTCTTATATCTGTTTTACCCTTATTTTTCCTATTAAGTAATGGTTTAAGAATCTATCAAGCACCGTAATTTGTTGTTAAGTAGCTAGTGCTTACAGGATTCCATTAAATTCACTTTAATAAGTCTATGAAGTTCTTATGAAAAACTTGTATCAGGGATGTGTTTGATTTGTTTCTTTGTTTAATTCAGTGTTTAACCCTAGGTATGCTATATACCCATAAATAAGATACTGTTGTAAGAGATAGTATGGTTTGGTGGGAAAAGCACAAGTTTTTAGATAGAGATCAGTTCTGCTATCTACCATTATGTTGTAACCTTTCTGACAGGGCTGCTGTCGTGCACGACTTTGGGAGCCATCATTTATTTTTGTGGTGTTCCAGAAAGTGTCATTTTCATAAACCACAGTGTGATTAGTGCCCCCTGTTAATAATGCAATGATGGCCTTGCTCTCTGAGCCTCAGTTTTATCTATAAAATGGTACCTAGAAGAGTCAGATGATTTCTTAGAATCCCCTAAATTATTAAGGTGAAGGTGAAAGATGATTAAAGCGTGTTATCTCCTAAGCTATGGCTTAGGAGATTTTCCGAAGCTCACAGTTCTAGGCACAGAAAGTCTCCATTCTGCAATGCATTTCAACCTGTATTGAGCAACACTCCAGTTCAGCCTGTATTGCTATGCTACATAGAGTTTGCCTGGATTATTATAGCTTTCTTAATAATTTTGTTTATGATCCACTCTCTCCAGCCCACTACACAGCAGCCAGCTACCTAAATTTCATATCTGAGTACATCCTTATATTTACTTACAACATACTATTTGTTTGCCATAGTAGAGTATTAAGCTTATTTGATTTTCTTTTTGCTTTCTCATAGTGCCCAATGTGCAGTCTACTCAACATCATAATATGTAACGTTTTTGAACTACTGACTATTGAATACAAACTTATTTAATTCTCAATCCAGTGGGGCAGATATTATAATCCCTATCTTATTTCTTTTTTTGAGACGGGGTCTCTATCACCCAGGCTGGAGTGCAGTGGCACAGTCTTGGCTCACTGCAACCTCTTCAAACAATTCTCCTGCCTCAGCCTCCCAGGTAGCTGGGATTACAGGTGCCTACCACCATGCCTGGCTAATTTTTGTATTTTTAGTTGACATGGGGTTTCACCATGTTGGCCATGCTGGTCTTGAACTCCTGACCTCAAAATGATCTGCCCACCTCAGCCTCCCAAAGTGCTGGGATTACAGGCATGAGCCACCGTGCCTGGTCTATAATCCCTGTCTTAAAGAAGAACGAAAAAAAAAGGTTTAAGGAAATTGGCAAAAGGCCAAACAACTAATTGGTGGGGAACCAGGATTCTAATCAAAAGCTATCAAATCCCAGGGTCTAAACTTATCACTCCATACCACTCAACAAATACTTATTGAAGTGAAAATTATGTTTACATAGCCTCTCCAGTTAGACATTCTCACCAATTAGTATCACTCAATATTAGCCTGAAAGTCAAAATTGTCATAAGGATTGTTCAGGGTCTAAGGATTTTCTTTTTTAAATAAGTAGGGTTTGTAATTTTTGCATGTATCAGGAGTTGACTTTTATAAAGTTAATAATTGAATATTTTGCATACTTCAGGATGTTTCATAGCAGCATTTGGGCAAAAATTCTTGGGTTATGTATGTTGATCTTGACACTGGTGTTTCTTAAAATTTTGCTACCTTTTAGGCATACCTTGTTAAAGAAGAACTATAAACCTGAACAAGGTAGTGAATTTATCTTGCAGCCATACTTTTTCTGTGTTTAAAATCAAACTATTCAACACAAACTATTAGAACTAATAAAGGAGGCTGGGTGTGGTGCCTCACACCTGTAATCCCAGCACTTTGGGAGGCTGAGGTGGGCAGATCACTTAAGGAGGTCAGGAGTTTGAGGCCAACATGGGGAAACCTCATTTCTACCAAAAATACAAAAAAATTAGCCAGATGTGGTGGC